ATATCAAGGTTCCTGAGATATTTTAAAAATCAAAGCGAGAGGCTTTTAACATTGCAGTATAAAATACAGGCTGGGGTGTCTAAATGTTCGACGATAGATTTTTCTTAAACTCCTGTAAAAGACTTATGAGTCTATGTTCATTCAAATTTCAATATAAAAACTTTTTTTTAACATTGGTTATAAAGGGGAAACTTAATTTTTCCTTAATGAGGAAAACATTGAACGATAGAATAGGCTTAAATATCCAGAAATTAACGCCACTTTGCTCATTTGAATATTATACTAAAGAAATCGGATACGGGTCACGGAAATTATATTGCAATGATAGGGAATTTTGAAAAAAAAATGTCTGATTTAACTTTAATTTAAGTGATAGACAGGTTGCCGGGACAGACAATAAATATACACAACAGTATACTACATTTAAACGAAACATAATGACTGTTGTTGCAAATATCAAGGTTCCTGAGATATTTTAAAAATCAAAGCGAGAGGCTTTTAACATTGCAGTATAAAATACAGGCTAAAATGGCTGAAATGTCAAATTTGCAAACTTCGTGTTGAAAATTGGTTAACAAGGTCATTACAAAAACAGGTTGCCGGGATGAAACTTGAAACTTGAATGTCTAAAGAATAAGCAAGTCCAAACCTTGTATGTGTAGTCGTTGAACTCTAGGTTCCCATGTAAAGTTAAAAGGCCCCTATTTCAAGAAGAATAAAATCACGAAAACATGAAAAATTCACTAAATTCGCGTTCATTGTTTTGATTTTGACCGTCTGATAACGTTACGGAAATATCAGAGTGATTATAAACAAGGACTCTGTGACGGGCAACTTATAATATCCGTGTTTTAAAGATTTTAATGATATCAAGCCAGTCCAGTTCAAACTATTATCACGTGGTACAATTCTCATTTACATATAATGAATATTAATTAGCAAAGGTACTACTAATTTCTGGCTATGATAGGCTATTTAAAAGAGGGAGTCACGGGCCTTATTTTCTTGAAAAAAAATAAAAAATTGTCCTATCAAATTCAGTATAATTATCTGCCCTTGATTTTAAAAGGAATTTTTTTTCTGAAAATTTTGAATTCACTTTATGACACTTAATTTTTTGATAGTTTAATGTTTTAATTTCAAGTTTGCATACTTTTGTTGTATATTGAATGATACTTGGTCAAATATTTTTTTAAACAAAAAGGTTTTTTGCAACTTGCCGAGAAAGAATGCTCAGAAAAAGACGCCCAATCTACCTTAAAAAGTAATAATTACAAAATTAAATGAAATAAATCTTTACAAAATGATATGATACTCCTACATCAACAAATCTGAAAGATAAGGATCTTGCGTATTAATAAGACTTAGTATGATCAAATAATAAGTAACACACATTTCATTCGCCGATCATTTGCTTTTGTCAAAAGTTTACATTAAAACATTAATTGGAGTTATGCCAATGTTCTATTTTGTATACATTCATTTGAAATACAAATAGATATAAGAAGATGTGGTATGAGTGCCAATGAAACAACTCTTCATCCAAGTCAAAATTTATAAAAGTAAACCATTATAGTCACAGTACGGTCTTCAACACGGAGCCTTGGCTCACACCGAACAGTAAGCTATAAAGGGCCCCAAAAATTACAAGTGTAAAACCATTCAAACGGGAAAACCAACGGTCTAATCTATATAAAAAAACGAGAAACGAGAAACACTTATGAACCACATCAACAAACGACAACTACTGAACATCAGATTCCTGACTTAGGTCAGATGCAAACAAATGCAGCTGGTTTAAACGTTTTGATGGTACCAAACTTTCACCCTTTTTCTGAAACAATAGCGTAACATCACAACATAGAAAGACACTAATGAACTAAGGGAAGAATAATAAAAGTAGCATGTTATATCGGTATGAAATGTTAAACAATTTAAGAAAAACAATATGCTCGAACAAAAATATCAGCCATTTGCAATAACTTTAAACCCAGGTAAGTGAAAAAAAAAATTTGTTGTTAGTTATACGTGTACAGTTCCATTAGAGAAAGGAAATATTTTAACAAAATAAATAAATTTGATGTTCATAGTACGAAGTGAAAAATTATAGTAATACCAAACACTTATCAAAGCTGGTATATAGACCAGATATAACCCTGAATAACATTAAATAACAAATTATTATTACAATTAGTATCAACAGGTCAAATAAACAAGAAAGTACGATTTGAGAGTACTCGCAGTTACTGACAGCTAGTTAAAAGCCAAAACAATTAATAATAAAAAATCATGCATTAGAGACTAAAATCAACTAAAACACATCCCAGGGATTTAGTATTTTAACGTCATGGACAGCCAAAGAAGCATGACTAGTGCAATGCCAAAAATAAATGTATCGACAGACAGTAGGATAGTTAGGAGTTTAACCTCTTTATAGATCAAAATGAACGTGGGTGTGTCTTTATACATCCCGTTTGAAAAGAATACAAATTTAGTTATGTTTTAATTTGCTGATGACAAAATCGATATTAGTGCCAATGTAAACTATATTCAAAGATCTAATTACAACATTGGTAAGATAACCTTTACTAATAAGTTTGTTTAAAGGTTCGATGAGTTTACACGGATCACATAGTGATTTCCGCGCTTTAAGTACAATATTAAATATATTTAAGAAAACCTTATACACTATTGTGCTTTATTGAATAGTTTACGATTCAAAACAAGGTTGATTTGAACGCTGATGGAATGTTGTCTCATAGGAAATCTTACCGCAAGTCCTTATTTTATATCGTATCATTGCTGAAAATCACATTCAGTGTTGGATTTTCCCCCCTTAGTATGCTATAGTTTTTTTAAATTTGTTTCCGCCCTTCATTCATGCCTGGATATTTCTATTTTTGCTTTGTCATCCAACATAGTTGCACCGGAATTTTTTTCCCTCGTATTAACTACAGTATTAATATGTACCTCGCATTTGCAAGCTACTTATTTCATCAAGTTACACAATGGAATATCCAATCCCTCAGAAGCAACATATGTTGCAACAGCGCATAAGTGGTCACCATTTCTGAAATTTTCAAGCACAGCAATCTGCTCATCTGGTGGAAGGCCTTAAAAAAAGAGAGAATTATTTTATTTTTATAGTTGTTATAACTAAGGGATTACATATTCATATTTAGAAAGTACTTGTATATATACATATTATACTACATTTATACTAATAATGTTTTAAGACCTCAATTGAGTCTCAGGCGTTCCTGATTGAGTTCAGTTATATATAAATATATATACTTTGCAGAATATAACGCATAATAGTTGTTTTCAAATATTATTTTGTGTACTTCAAATCGATATTTGACAGCAATGCTTAAGTTAATAATTTTAAAATTGAACAACTATTCTTACAGCGCACTGAACAGAGATTGAAAAACAGTCACATACGAAAAATGGCCAATGTCAGTATATATTGTAACTAACATATGCAGGTACAATTGTTACAGTTCTGCATCTCCTTGGCATGGATCGAATAAAATTTTGTATTGGACCTGTGGTTTCCTTTCCTATATTCGCTTGACTGAGTTGGTCAAATGACGTAGGTGGGAGTTGAAGTTGGTGGACGTGTCTTTCAAGTTCGTCCCAAAGTTGTTCTATGGAGTTTAAATCCAGCTACTTCGTAGGCCATGGCTACCATATATTTTATTAGGAAATACACGAAATCCCTTGCTTTGTTTAACCGGGAATTGTCCTGCTGAAACATCTATCTCTGTCGGTCAATAATATTGAGCATATGTGACTGCAAGTACTCGTATCTGTAACGTTCAGTCGTTGAAATGTGTTCGGGGCTCACAAGCTTGATTGTTTTGGAGTTGTAGGATATTGCTACAGACATTATAACATTATGACACTCCCATCGTAAAATTACCGGTCGAAACGTTCATTTCGAAGCCTGTATACGCGAGTTTGTCTCTCACATCTTTGGTATGAAAACATTATTCATTGCTTAACCATATTCGTCTTCCATTCTTCAAGGGTCAAGACCTTTTAATGTATGACACCAACGAACATCTGCAAGTTTATATGTACCTAATGTGGATACGTCATTTATCGTGGAATACCAATTTTCGTGATATACAATTTTTGGGGGGATTTGGATGGTACAGATGAACCACGTATTTAAAAGATCAGCGTATAACGATTTATCTATAGGCTTATATACAGACTTTTGCTAAACCATTACATCAAATATCCACGCAAATGTTTGTTTCCCTCAATCCACAAAAATTGGTGCTCACAAAAACATGGAATATAAATAAAATCACAGTATGTTTAAACTGGTCATTGGCAAAATCGGCGTTGGCGAAACCAATTACAGACTGCCTACAGACAGCAACCGTCATTTTAAGGTGCTGAAAATTACGCTTGATGAAATGCTAAATTGCTCGTTTAGGCATTTTGTATTTGAAATACACCTTTTATTATCCATCAATATTTGGATTAAAAAAAAAGGAATCAAACGGGGTTTTTTTTTTTGGCAGAGTACTTTTTTAACGTCGTTCGTTGACTCAGATGGCTTTTTAAATCGAACGATTTTTTGTGTGAGTTTGGTGACAATTTATTATTTTTTTGTCTCTACCATTGTATTTCTGAGTATACGAACACCTTGTATAGTTATTGCAATCAAATTTAAACGAACAGAAAAGGCGACACACTCCATACACCAGGAATCGTATAGATCGTCAAGATTCTGACCGAACGTCGTTCTGAATTAAAATAATTGTGCACAGTCAAGCGGAAGCCCCTCTATGGTAGGGATTTAAAAACCGAATGAAGCAATAGAAGGGTTATAGATGTATATTGTTTTAATAGAGTCAACCCTTTTGTTTATTTGTTAATGATTATAGAAACATAAATCATATGTTACCTTCTTCGGCTATACATTTGTGTGATCCAGTCAGGTAAGTACTTCTGAGATAATCAGGTAATACATCTATGAGGGCCCTTGCTGTTGCTTTAGTTTTAACAAATATTAAGAATCTGGAGTCTTCTTTGCATTTTTGATATTCACTATCTAGTAATTCAATAACTGCTTTAACATTAGGATTTTTTTCAATTTTTCTTTCTATCTCCCGAATATCAACAAACACTTCTGTCATGAAATAAGATTTAAACAATATAAAAATAAATAATATAAAAAAATATTCATTACCCTTAATGACTTATATTTGTTAAGATCATCTTACTTTTGTCTCTGGGTGATATTTCTCTCAATGACGGTCATACTTAATCTCCTTAATTGGGTATTTCTAAAGTTTGAATCCAATTTATTTCGCGTACTGATGATTAAAAGAGTTAGTCCAAACATATTCTCTAAAATATCTCATTTATCCTGCGAATACTATGTAATAAATGTATGCCCATCTTAAACCTTACATCTCAATTTTGTTTGAAAAAGTTACATTTAAAAACTACAGTTATTTTATTAATAATAAAACAAAAAAATAAAAAAAAAATATTTTGGTTTCTTCTATATTCGTTTTTTTCAATTATTAAGTTGGTGATTACGTGCAATAAAAAGATATCCATCAAACATTTAATTCACTTATCCTTCTGATGTTTTTTTTTTTATTTAATGGTTAGAAAGCAGTCGTTCATCAAACTAGAGAAATTACTAATTTAAACATTCGCACATTTTATTACCTTTTAATTTATTGACAATTTCAGTCTCTTCGACCGTTTTTGCATTTTGACCTGCAGCGGACTCATCTGCGTAATAACATTACAAACTTGATCAACCTCCAGCAATGAATTCACTTCTAAACATTCAGTGTAAAGCTGGAAAAGATAATGAAAATACCAAATGAATTCTAGCAATTAAATAACCGAGATCGAGAAAAAAACAGAAAATGAAAAAGTAAGACAAACAATTATAAACAGAACGGTCCGTGTATACATGTATTTGCGTCCATTCGTTTTTCATTTTGAAATATCAAAAACAAAAAACAAAAAACGAGAGTGTTTTCAATTTTCGTTTTTGATTTCTCAAAAACCAAAACGAAAAACAAAAGTGTTTTCATTTTTCGTTTTTGATTTCTCTAAAACCAAAACGGAAAACGAAAGTGTTTTCATTTTTTGTTTTTGATTTCTCTAAATCCAAAATGAAAATCAAAAGTGTGACCGTTTTTCGTTTTTGATCTCACTAAACAAGAATTGTGTATTTAATTTTAATTATTTCTCGTTTTATAATGTACAATATTTTCCTTTCTTGTTTCACAGTCATTGATAGTAAATAATTCCAATGTAAACACCCCGGTGTTCTTTCAACATAATGTAGACAAAATAGACCGCCTGACTTATGAATTGAACTACGGTGATAAATGAATCAAAGCCTTTCAAATTACCTTGTTTATATCTTTAATAAAAAATAAATTATTATATTTATATATTAAACGAATCATAAATTTAAATTGTACAATATAATATTATATAAAGATAGTACACATAAATAGATTGATTACAACATCATATTTACAAGGAAGGTTACTACTTTTTAAAACTTATAAGAAAACTACCCCGGTCGTTAAAGTATACATGCACAGTCACTGTGGTTATCAGATCTTTAATCGAAGATAATGTCGACGGATGCAAAAGACTCTATCAATCTGAACAATAAGGGTGCGTGATCTTTACTTTTAAATTTAGAAAGGTTGATCTCAGATGATTAGAATTCATGACCAAGGTCCATTATACGAACATTCAGGACGATAATGTGTTTTGCTTGATCAATATATTGAAAAACAAATTTCCGCAATTTCACAATTCAAACCGGGATAAGCATTCAATCATTTTGCCATTCGGACCCTACTCGGTATTAGTTTTGCTTATTTTTGAAAGCTATATGGTGATCTTAACTAGAACCTGGGTGTGGATGGGGGTTTACGGAATAGAGAATAGTGGGCAAAAAATATGAATAATAGAGACAATACAAGAAATAAAAAAAATAGAATAATGAGGTGTTAAAATATAAAAAGAACAGAATAATTGGCCAAAAGTATAAAGAAATAAAGAATGGAGAAAAATGGCCTGAAACATTGATTAAAGAATAGAGAAAATCGGCATAGAATATCAAAGAATACAGAAATGAAGAACCCCGTATCCAGACCATCATCCTAGTTGCCTAAACCAACGTTATTTTGTCTCCGGTAGATTGTTATTGGTTATCATACGTTTTCTGTTTATTTCTATGCTTATCAATAAAGACGTGAGCTTTCATAATTTGCCAGCTTATTACATTATAAAAAAAGACTAAGCCGAACATCACTCTGGATTTTTTCTCAAGTAGACCTCAGCTACCCACCCTACCACACCATTACCGAAGAGTTAATAAAAAAAATCTACGGCAATACTTTTGTCCGCACTAGGTGTAAAGGGAAGTTGGGTAGCTGAGGTCTACTGGAGAAAAAAATCCAGGGTGTTATTCGTCTTAGTTTTTTTTTTAAGTAGGTCCAAAGTTGGAGTCCGCGGACACACAACCCCACCCTTACCGAAAATTAAATAAAAACAAATTCTAAGGCAACACTTTTGTCCGCACTAGGTGCAAAGGGAAGCTTGGTAGCTAAGGTCTACAGCAGAAACAAACCAGGGTATTGTTCGGCTTAGCTTTTTTTTCTAAAGTAGGTCCAAAGTTGAGGTCAGAAACTCTACCAAACCCTTACCGAAAGGTTAACAAACAAAAATTCTATGGCAATACTTTTTTCCGCACTAGGTGCAAACGTAAGCTAGAGACCTAGCGCCTACTTGATCAAAATTCCCAGTTTGGGTATAGCACGGATTATTTTTTAAAGCTAATAAATAATTTCCTTGCCCACCATACTTTGGGTACAAACAATAAACCTTTCGTCCAATCATAAGTAAGCGAAATCCACTGTTTCAGAAGTAGAATGTTTTGTCAAAACAGTTTTGTGTGGCAAAAAAAAAAGTTAAAGCACGAGTGCAACTTTTTTTTCTTCTAATGCAGAACAATTGTTACTTTTCATGAACTATTTGACAGGATGCCGAGAATATGGAAAGCTATTTCACACAATAGTGCAATTTTGCCAAAATTTAAATAATTTCATAATTATTTACGATTTTATATACACTCAAAAGTGTTGACTATTTGAAATGTAAAGCGTGCAGCACGCTTTGTGATGTATTGAAAGCGATTTCTTTTGTATCTAAATAATTAATGAACAAGAAATGAAATTTTGAAATTCATTGAATAGTGTCTTTGACTGCTTAATTATATACTAAAAACTGACCATATAGTGGTTATATATTAATAAAAACATGTGAAGTACGTTTGAATCTTATGCAACATTTGGGTTTATATAAACATCTGAAAACTGGCTGCTAGCAAAGTGGCTGCTAGCGAGTGGCTGCTTGGTTGAACCTGGTCTCACAAACTCCGCATTTTCATTCACGTCTTCACATTACAGGTTTCAATAAACGTTTAGTAAATTATGTCAATGTGAAGAAAAATGACCCGTATTATGCCAACAACTGGTTTTAGAATTAATTAGTTTATTTCCGATGCAAAGACCTTATAAGTGAATCAATATTGATACAAAAATATGTCATCTTTAATGATTCCTCATGGGGTTTTGATTATGTGATTACTTGGCCGTTTTTTTAGTGATTATTTGATTACTAGACCAAATATTTCATGATTATTTGATTATCTAGGACTGTATTTTAGATTAATTGATTACCAAATTTAAACAATAAATTTGTGTGTATAGCATACATATAAAATTTGGCTTGAAAGACGTTATTTTTTTTCGCCTCGCTCCGCTCGGTAAAATTATTAAGAATTAAGTCCGAATATTGAACGCGTTTGTCCAGTTATCTTATTAAAATTCATACAAAAAAGTCATATAAGTATAACGAAATCAGAGATAACTTTCTTTTATCTAGATTGGTTCGTCTAATTTAGTATTTTTATCTGAAGTAAATTTACTAACTTCTTTAATAAAGTATTTGAACAAGAATGTGTCCATAGTACATGAATGCCCCACTCGCAATATCATTTTCTATGTCCAGTGAACCGTATATTGCAGTCAGAACTCTAATTTGGCAACAAAATTAGAAAGATCATATCATATGGAACATGTGTACTGGGTTTCAAGTTGATTGGACTTCAACTTCATCAAAAACTACTTTGACCAAAAACATTAACCTAAAGCCGAACAGACGGATGAACGGAAGAACAAACGGACGCACAGACCGAAAAAACATAATGCCTATAAATGGAACATACATTCACAAAATGTCCTGAAATTGAATGAAGGTACTGTAAATCTCAATTAGACCATAACAGGCATATCCAAATAAAGTTCCCTGAAGTCATAAACAACTTTCCTCACTTGTAGATCTATTTCCACTACTTCTGCAATATTGTAATTTTATCAATAATAATATAAATAGAAATTGTATGCATGTAAATTAAAAACGATCAGGGTAAACTTATCAATCCTTTAAATAAACTTATTTTAAAAGGTTACCAATTAAACACTGAAAATAGATCTTTGAATATTGTTTTTATTGGTATAAATATTAATTTTGTTATCAGTAACTTAAAATTATACTACATATTATTGTTATACACATCAAGGTACTACAATCTGTTGATACCTATGATTTGGCATTGCACAAGGTCATGTCTTTCTCTGACTGTTAATGACGTCTTTACATTAAATCCATTGGATGTTGGATGTGTACTGATTGATATTTTAGTCTTAGATACATGATTTTTGTATTAGTTGTTATTGGCTTTAAACTAGCTGTCAGTACTGAGATTACTCTCAGATCTGTACTTTGTGTCCTTTTTTGTTTGTTAATGATGTATAAATACCCTGCTACGTCCGGTCTGTGCTTTTGTTAGATGTTTTTTTCTGTTTTGTATCGATCTGATATGTTAAGCCCTTTTCAACTGATTTTTATAGTTTGTTCTTATGTTGTTCTGTAACAAAACTCGTCCCAGGTTAACGGGAGGATTGAGCGCTCACTTGCATGTTTAACCCCGCCACATACTGTATGTGCCTGTCCCAAGTTAGGAGCCTGTAGTTCAATGGTCGTCGTTTGTTGATGTCTGTCATATTTGTTTTTTGTTTTATTGTGTTATAAATTAGGCCGTTTTTTTCTCAACTGAACTGTTTCATATTTTTCATGTCAGAGCCTTTCATAGCCGACTATACCATACTGTTTTTTTTTTTCTCATTGTTGAAGGTGGTACGGTTGCCTATATATAATTGCTTACATCCACTTCATTTGAACTTTAGGGATAGTTGTCACATTGGCAATTATACCACATCCCCTTATTAAAATGTTGAGGGGGGAAAGGGAGGGGGGTGAAATTTGTATTTCTTAGGAAAGTTCCAATGTTTTCCTCCCAGGTCACCCAGTTTTAATTGGATATTTTCTCATTTTGCTGTGCCCTTGGATTTGTGTTTAAGGCCAATCAGAGCTTACTACCTGTTGGTGGGTAGTTGAAGACCATATGGTAAGCTCTAGGTGTCTTTTTTGTATTGTATATGGTGATTTGGTGATGTCTTCATGAAAGTAGCTGGAGGGTCTTCAACGAGGAAAAGAACCATTCATACCCTGAAAACAACAGCCACACACGTGACTATGTGGATTACAATGTTTTGCTTTATCCTACACCCTGTTTTTTTTTCTCCAGAAGACCTCAGGTACCCAGCTTCCCTAGTGCGGACAAAAGTATTGCCGTAGATTTTTATTATTAACTTTTCGGTAATGGTGTGGTAGGGTGGGTAGCTGAAGTCTACTTGAGAAAAAATCCAGAGTGAAGTTCGGCTTAGTCTTTTTTTATAATGTAATAAGCTGGCAAATTATGAAAGCTCATGTCTTAATTGATAGGCATAGAAATAAAAAGAAAACTTATGAAAACCAATAACATTCTACCGGAGACAAAATAACGTTGGTTTAGGCAACTAGTATGATGGTCTGGATCTCTTATTCTTTAATCAGTGTTTCAGGCCATTTTTCTCTATTCTTTATCATGTTTATTTCTTTATACTTTTTGCCAATCATTCTGTTCTCTTTATATTTTAACACCTCATTATTCTATTTTTTTTTAATTTTTTGGTCCATTATCTCTATTATTTATATTTTTTGCCCACTATCCTCTATTCCGTAAACCCCCATCCACACCCAGGCTCTAGTTAAGGTCAACATATAGCTTTCAAAAATAAGTAAAACTAATACCGAGTAGGGTCCGAATGGCAAAATGATTGAATGCTAATCCCGGTTTGAATTGTTAAATTGCGGAAATTTGTTTTTCAATATATTGATCAAGCAAAACACATTATCGTCCTGAATGTTCGTATAATGGACCTTGGTCATGAATTCTAATCATCTGAGATCAACCTTTCTAAATTTAAAAGTAAAGATCACGCACCCTTATTGTTCAGATTGATAAAGTCTTTTGCATCCGTCGACATTATCTTCGATTAAAGATCTGATAACCACAGTGACTGTGCATGTATACTTTAACGACCGGGGTAGTTTTCTTATAAGTTTTAAAAAGTAGTAACCTCCCTTGTAAATATGATGTTGTAATCAATCTATTTATTTGTACCATCTTTATATAATATTATATTGTACAATTTAAATTTATGATTCGTTTAATATATAAATATAATAATTTATTTTTTATTAAAGATATAAACAAGGTAATTTGAAAGGCTTTGATTCATTCATCACCGTAGTTCAATTCATAAGTCAGGAGGTCTATTTTGTCTACATTATGTTGAAAGAACACCGGGGTGTTTACATTGGAATTATTTACTATCAATGACTGTGAAACAAGAAAGGAAAATATTGTACATTATAAAACGAGAAATAATTAAAATTAAATACAAAATTCTTGTTTAGTGAGATCAAAAACGAAAAACGGAAACACTTTTGATTTTCATTTTGGATTTAGAGAAATCAAAAACAAAAAATGAAAACACTTTCGTTTTCCGTTTTGGTTTTAGAGAAATCAAAAACGAAAAATGAAAACACCTTTGTTTTTCGTTTTGGTTTTAGAGAATTCAAAAACGAAAAATGAAAACACTCTCGTTTTTTGTTTTTTGTTTTTGATATTTCAAAATGAAAAACGAATGGACGCAAATATACACGGACCCAGAACACCTCACAGATAACAAAAAAACAAAGACCAACAGGAACCTAATAAAACATCTGGGATGACCTCTAGTACTCTTATCTGTGCTAATGGGGATAATGGTTCATATAATTGTAAATTATTGCATATTTCGTATATATCGAGAACAATTCCTTCAGTTGATAAACCATCGGCACAAGAACAGTTATCTTGCATTTCAAATGAGACATGGTTTACAAAACAAATGATAGATCAGACTGTAACCGGGAGTTACAACGCAGGCTAAATACAAAAATTAACTACTAAAAACAACAAAAGCAACACCAACCCCGTAGCAACAAACTAGGGGTAAACGCAGATGCTTAGGAAGGGTAGGCAGTTCTCCTAAAACTAATGGGACACTTAGTATGCTCATTGGAAGTATAAATTTGTTGATGAGACAGTTTCAGTGATATATTTAAAGATGGGGACAATGTAATCTTTAACATACAGCTCTACACCCAACAATTAAAAAAAGATAAAAAATGAATTTTGAATTTTGACATATTGTGTTAATAAATGCAAAATACAAATGTTGTTGATAATATCTCACTCATAAACATAATCTATGAATGTCTACCCGACAATGATATATACCAATTTTATATTTATTATTATGTTTTATTAATATGCTTAAAATGATAAAATGTCACTAAATGTTATTTTGTACATCTAAATGTCTGAAACATGCATGAAGTAGCCGTGGTATTTTCGGGTCTTTGTGTAATACATGCTCAACTTTATCTTTGGTCTCTGCAATCCATTGGATGTAACGGATTTCGGTCCTTTGTTTTGGTGGATTTTTTAATGCATCATACAAGTCTCTACAATCATTGATATCATCGATAAGAAAGCTTGAGACTGGAAATGAAAAATTAAAAAAATCCGTATTCATACCACACCAGTATTTAATAGAGGCTATTACAAAAACTAAAGGTTGTTATTACATTTAGATTTACATTTAGAAGCAAGGGGTAGCGATCTGGCAATTGTCTTTTTTTTAGATTTGTTTAGTTAAAAATACAAAACCAAATGCTTTATTGCAAATCCTAAAAAATTGACAAAGTTAGAGTAAACGGAAAGAAAGAAGGACAAAAAAGAAACAATTCAAAATAAAGCCCTCAAAAGTAAGAACGCATGCTTTGATGTGCTACCCAATATTTGTTATCAATTTTGTACTTATATTTTGGTGGTTTTATCATTCATCAAGTCAATTTTGGTGCAGGTTCGCACGAATTAAGAACTCGTCCTTAATTCAGTTTTTTTTATTGTCTGACATGCAACTTAACATATCAAAACTACATGCATGCCTTACAATGTGTCTGCTGTTTACTGGTAGTTTACGAGTAACGTAAACAGCAGGCTATTGTATATCTTGTTAGTCCATATAGGCAAATGGATAGATTTGTGCGCACGTAAAGCTGGTTACCACTATCCCGTTTCAGGCTCCTTGGATAATGTTTTCGCGTTGTTGTATGCCTTTGTTTGAACGTCTTGGTAAACGGATGAGCTGGTTGTTGGTAGTTGAAGTTGACATATACTTATCAATTATTTTGGTTCTTTCCGCCCTGAGGAAATGTTGTCAGGTAGTTTATTCTCTTACAAGCGACGTAAGCCACGACGTGGTGCTATTGTTTTAACTAGTTAATTTTAGCAATCTACCATTTAAAAATGATGGTTTATATATCCGTTTCATTAAAAAAGTGTTCTGATACTTTTTGCCAATGTTGAATACCAAATTATACAAAACCGCAACTTCTAAATTGTAAGTATCATCTTTTACAAAACACAAACAATCAGTATTTTTTCAAAGAATAAAACTGTCAAATAATACTTAACGAAGGTTGATTATATAACACCATGATGAGACAAATAAACATTTTTACAATGCAGCTTAAAAATATCGTGTTTTTTGGGATCAAAACATACTTACTTGTATTGATATTGATAACAGGGTGCGTATATAGAATTGCAAAATAGTTCATTATATAATATAAAAAGACTATACCTTTTCGACAATTGAACATACTTTCCACATAGTCCATTGCAGTTATGACAATGTTTTTCAACGGATCGTCTTGGCGTGGGTATGACCTTATAAATACTAAAAGAATTTAGTTTAAATATAGATAAGTATAAATTTCCATCAAATGTGTTATTTCATATTCCAATGATTTATATTGAGAAAAATGTAATATCTGTTCTCGCTGTTGACAATCCTTAGTATTTCCAAAAAAAATCCGTTTTTTTAAACATACGTATACGTTCACGTCTGTAATATTTGTTTTTCAATTGTTTTGTTATAAATTAGGCCGTTAGTTTTCTCAATTAAATTGATTCATATTTTTCATGTCGGGACTCTTTTTTAGCCGACTATATGGTATGAATTTGTCTCTTTGTTGAAGCCCGTACGGTTGCCTATAATTGCTTACATCCGCTTGAATTGAACGTTGGTGGACAGTTGTTTCATTGGCAACTATACCACATCTCCTCATTTTTATATACACATCAATATATATATGGTCAATTTGCTGTTAACAATACGATTTTTCTAAATTTACTAATCAACTGTATTCACCTGACATACTGTTACTCAATGTAACATGAGTTATAGTCCATGTCCTTTTTACACATTGGTGAATTAGTTATGAACGCCGAGGATCATACCAAAATGTAGGCAGTATATTTAATTTTTTTAACAGTAATGATCCGGTAACTCGCTATATATCTCAATATAATTTAATAACACCTTAAACATGTTTTACGTTAGACATGTTAGAACTGCTTGAATCGTTGTATGACGATTCAACATTTCCATTTGATCAATTATTTATTTTAGTGTTTAGCACATTATACTAATGATAAATTCTATTTTTAATTGAAATCAAGAGGTTATCCAAGTTTTGTTTACACGTTAAACACGCAAATATTAAAAATTTATAACAAAAATACCAAACTCCAAGGTAAATTCAAAAAGGGTAAGTCCATAAAAACTGACAAAATCAAACGCTTTCAATAAACGGAACAAGTGAAAAACAACTGCCATAATCCTGACTTGGTACAGGCATTTTCCAACGAAAATGGTGGGTTAAACCTGGTTTTACAGCTATTTTAAAATTCCGTTATATTGACAAAATTGGGTGAGAACCCAAACAGACATAATAGGTTAATTTGGCAATTATTGGGATACGCAGTAAAAACTGTGCAATTATACATCACAGACATACAACACAACTGACTAAAAAATTCAAACACACATACAAAAAAATCTAACAAAGACGCCAACAAATTTGACAATGACGTCAACAAAAACCGTTTTTTGTCATTGATAGTACATAAGGGTAAACAAAATAAAAACAACACTATATAAACCAATGTTAAAGACTTTTAGTTCATATTCCAACGTCAGAACATCAAAATTAGATTGTGTAGATATGTAGTGTACAATCGCAATCAAAAACTGTCAAACCTATTGACGAGTACTTCAGAGTTTTTGACACTAAAATATTTTCATATGATTTATGACAAAACTTACTAATGCTGATGTTTGATGAACCCATTAACTATTTTCTATTTTGTTTTTAAAATACCATTGCTGGAATTCCGATTTATCTAATTGAATCAGAGTTCGCACATAATGTGCTTTCCAACATCGTTCAAACAATAAGCTATTGGTTCTAGCAGTATAATTTTAAAATATCATGATAGCATGGTTGTTCGCAAATTAAGAAATTTTAACTACCTGGGAGCATTACACCCGAAAGCGCTGAAATGGTATAGCTATAACCAAATAAGTGGAAAAGTTTCTTCATGGGCTATCTATTAAATGTTTTTAATTTCATGTTAACTTTATGACATGAGAAACAAAATATATCATTTACATCTTCATGATCTTGTCCGTTTCTGAATGTCTTACCTTTTTCAGGAATAGTGGTGTACTGAAGGAGTTCTTCTTCATTTAGTTTTACAATGGACAATTTTGAAACGGCTAAATTTGTCATCACAGTACGCAAATGATGTTTTGCAGAGTTTAAATCTTTTGCCTTCTTTGTGCCTGATGATGCTGTTAAACCCAAAATCTATAAAACAATCAATTGTATAAATTTAATTAGACAAAGTTTATTATAAGAAGAGGCCTCGGTAGCCGGGTGGTATAAGTAGTCGAACTACTGTAAACGTATCTTGTCAACACTGAGGTTGGGAGTTAGAATCCCGCACGTGGCGGGTGCGCTCGACTCAAATCGTATTTGACTAGGTTTCTCTACCGAAGATCGGTGGTTCTCTCCAGGTACTCCGGCTTCCTCCAACAATAAACAACAGACCGCTACGAAATACACAATAGAGTTGAAAGTGGCGTTAAACACCAGTCAATAAATCTATTATTAGAAAATTCTGATGCGTAGTTGTTTTACTTGCTTAAACTTCAAGTCAATAACTTAAAGACAAAATTCGTCTTTTTCACCAAGGACAATACTCAAAACATTTTTTTAACTGCAAAAGAAAAACTCCAATGTGATTTGAATAATCACATTTTAATGTAAAGTGGATTTTTAGTCAGATACGCAAAAGAAAAAAGAAATTAAAAGGATGTAAATGGAACCCTTGTATACCATAAGATAACGTGCTATATATTTTTTTTCAAAACGCAAGAAATGTGATGATTTTAAACATTTTTTTCAGTAATGAATCCAATCTTAAAAATTATTCGGTTATCCAGCAATGTAAACATGAAACATTTGAATTGGTTAATGGTAAAAAAAAATGGATCCGTTTTAATTTCAAAAGTTGTATTCCCATTTTGTAAATTTCATTCCATTTGATATTGTGAATTACCTGAGGTAAAGTTGAAAGCTTTTCTCCATATTTAGCCTTTCTATAATATGCCATCAGTTCGTTATAGTTACTGTTATCACATGTGTGATGACATTCATCGAGTATGATCAATGTGAACTCCGCTATTGACATGTGTGGTGCTGCTTTCTCTGTTAGATGATTGCTGAGTGATTGAGGAGTCAAAAACATCAAGCTTGAATTCTTGATTTTATGAATGAAAAAATCGTTGTCATCTTCTTCTGCTTTCCATATTTTTATCTTTCTCTTAAAAAAGAAAGGAAACATCTATAAATTTTTTATAACAAACGTTTTTGTATCATTTTGCTAGTTTGGAATAGTATTTTGAAAGAATATAGACAATGGCTTTGATGCATACATATTATTCTCGTTTTCATTTTAAAAAAAAAAAATATGCCAAGTTGTTAGTGGATTCAAATTAAGTTAACCAAAGCTTATCAACGAAATATTTGTTACAGTTAAATCATCATTAAGTTTAACATTGTCATAGTACAATGATACATTTGTTTTTAAAAAACAATGCTTACAAAAAGATTTCAATGATTTCCAATTTTTCATTCACAATTACGCGCGCGTATTTGCACAGTTTGCATTGTTGTCTTTGATACACTATCGATCTAAGAATGGCACAGAATAATAAAAAATCATTTTTTTAAGCGTATTAACATATGAATTTTTAAAAACTATACATAAAAGAAATGTTAGTTTCATTTCATGTGTGTATGTTGCAGCAATGCATATTTAAAAAACCTATCTGAATATGTATGTAATGACGTCACTGGAAAGTCAAAACACTTTACTTTATTAATTTTGAAGATGTATATCATATATCAATTTACCGGTTTGTGTTACATAGACAATCTGTAACCAGTTTGAAAAACTGACAGTTTATGATTTGATTTTTTTAGATATTTCTTGGCCTTTATAATGTTTATAATTTTGAGAATATACTCAAGATAACATGGTGTTATTACTGTATTTAAATTTCCTAATATATAAAGAAACTGTGGTATTGGTTTAATTTTAACATCACCATGATAATGAAATAACGTGATCCTTAAGATGTTGTACATGAGCAATGATGTCAATAATTACAAGTACATGTATAGTACGTATGAGCATTACAGGTAGCAAAATAGTTCAATGCAACTCATCGACGGATGTTTATCTATCCTGCATATTTTAAAACCCATTAAGACAGCGCCTGCTCGAAAAAAGTAATTGCCATAAACAATGACGGTACAGGCACTGCATTGACGCAAATGCGGCAATATATTACCATATTCAGTTACGATATTATATGTCAGGACTAATCACATCGGAAACGATACTCGTTTATAGGTTAACCATATAGTTACCATACCTTGGTTAAACCTTTTTTTCTGCGTCTGATATATCACATGATTTAAACAATTTATGAACAAAATAATGTATAAAATTACCGATAAAATTATGTGTCATATGAACACACGACAACTGACTACTGGGCTAGTGATACCTGTGAATGCCAAATGTGCACTGGAGTGATTTTTGCGCACGCAAACTTGTTTATCAACAGCTCATTTTGTGCTTGTAACATTAAGGACGATTGTGCGCATGGGTTGACTATCGATGTTTAGACGTCTATTAATTTAAGGGTCGGCTGTTGGTTTGTTTGCTTAGTCTGCTTGACTTCCAAATTATCGTTTATTCATGTCTTCGTTTTAAATTATTATCGAAAAATAGATTTTTGCTAAATCTAGCACGTTTAATATTGATAAAAAGACCTACTAGAGTGGAGAAATGAAGCATAAAATGTATAATATAATATATATATACCTGATAGAACAGAGTTGAAAACACGCCACATGCTCTTTCGTATTGTTGTCCCAAGAGAATATTGGTTCTGTTAATAAATGCAACCTTGCCTGTAAAAGTACATTTCATTATTGACATTTACTTGGAATAAAATGACAACAAAATAGCATTGTTAAATAAATGTATGTATATTGACTATTTTCTATCCAGAATTCTGATTCTTCAACACTAGTATAATTTATAATGCAATGTATAAGGAAAATTCATAATAATTATAAAGAATTAAAACTGCACATTAGATTAAGGTGATAACTGTCTGATTGAATCTGTTCCTGATGTGCATACATTTGTCTTTTTGCTTTCGATCTTGTATCACCTTTTGTATTTTATTTTGTTTTTCCACATGGTTTGCCATTTTAAATCTGTTTTAAATATTTTAAATAAGGTAACTTGTTCATTTGTAAAGAATCGACTAATAGACATAAATATGATTACTTCATTTTGAGTTCTGAGCAGTATAGAAACGAAGTCACTGACTAATTTGTGTCTATAAACAGTGTTGGTAATTTTTGCAAAGATTGTCGTGACAATTATTGAAATCATTTTTTTTTATTTTTACATCTTGTGTAATTACTAAAATAAATTAAGAATGGAAACAGGGAATGTGTCAAAGATACAACAATCCGACCAAAGAGCAGAAAACAGCCCAAAACCACCAATAGATCTTCAACACAGCGAGAAAAATCCCGCACCGGAGACGGGCTTCAGTTGGCCCCTTAAAAAATGTATACTAGTTCAGCAAAATTGATAATGGTTATTTCTATTTTAAAACTTTATTGTTTTTTTACATCCATGAATTCATTAGTTTATTGCAATCGGTACATTCAGACATCTTACCCTCAGGATGTTTTATTAGATGATCTTCTATGATGTGGAAGGCTATATAAGTCTTTCCCGAATTTGTACCAGCGCATATAATAGTATTTTGACCAGTTAAAGCTATCTCGGCAAGTTCTTTCTGGTACTGCCGGAGACTTATTATTGTAGGTGTTCTTTCTGTAAATAAAAGTATAAATTTGACAAGGGGAAAACAGAATAAAAAGTACTACAACATGCACAAGTACCATCTTTACAAAATAAAAATAGTGTCTGCATTTGCCCAAAAGTTGTCACAATTAATAAAAAAAAAAAAACAGAAAAATTATTGTCAATATGGATATACAGCGAAAAATGTGACATCCAAAAGATCGATGTTAAAAAGAGAATTATATATTTGTTTTATTTTTTGTTGGGGGAATGAGGGTTATGGCAATCAAATTTTGATCATCCTTTATCGTTTTTTCCACATTTTGACGAATTAAATCATTTGACGTAATTACCAGTTTTGTTTAAAGAAAATGCACTATAAAATCTGTGATCTAAATTATGATTCTAATGATAATTTAGTGGACAGAACTATAAACAAAAGTGCCCCTTAATATTGCTGACGCTTTTATTAAACATTTTTTATGAATTTGGATTATATTCTGAAAAAAACTGTCACCAGTGTCAGAGCAGAAAGTTGATGAACCAGGGTTATGTCAAAGAACGTCTCGTCCTTTTTCTAAAAATGTTCATCGGAAGATACCAAGACCTTGTTGATAAATATTCCGTATCAACTTCACAAATAATACACGATGGTCTTGAAGTATAGATTCTAGGTACTGACGTTGTTTATCATCTTAATAACGTGTTATAGTGTTCTTTTATTTGTCTTTGTAAACTATTACTTTTACTGTTTAGTCTATTTTTGGTAAAATCTATTTGACGTGGCTCGGAACTTATAAATAACGTCATTGTGTTATTGTACTATGGTAAATTTTTGTATTCTTGTCTTTCGTTTTTGCTAATTAGCTTTGTTTATATGCCTTTTTGTTTTTCTTTGCTGATATATTTGTTCGTTTTTATAGAAATTAAGATTATAAAACAATGTTGACTGCTGTACCCCTATTTTTGACATTTTTACCTATTATGTCTATTTGTTTTGTTCACACATTGTTGTCAATATAATGGAATTTTATACAACTGTCATACAAGTGAGAGGTTTAACTAGCTGTAAACCAGGTTTAATCCACCATTTTCTACATAAGAAAATGCCTGTACCAAGTCAGATATATGATAGTTGTTATCCATTCGTTTGATGTGTGTGAGCTTTTGATTTTGCCATTTGATTAGGAACTTTCCGTTTTGAATTTTCCTCGGAGTTCCGTATTTTTATTATTTTACTTTTTATTGAAGTTTTTGATTTTATACCTTGGTTGATACAGCAACATATTTATTACGAAAAGTTATTACGCCAGAAACCCCTCCTCCCTTATGATATAACTGTTTAAAAATGTTCTAGGGTGCTGTTATAGGGTGAAATTGTCTTTAATCGTTATTAATAAGCTCATAAAAGATGTCAGGATTGAAATTGAGTATCACAGATGCTTGTTTCGTCTACAAAAGATTCATCAGTGAAGTTCAAATGAAAAAAAGATAAAAAGACAAAATAAGTAATGTACGAAGTTGAAGAACCTTCAGGACCCAACAGTTCGAAAGGTTAAAACAACCAATTCAGCTACGGTAATTTATACCTGGGGTAGAAATCTCTAAGTATTTTAAAAACTCAGATTTTGTAAACATTTTATGTATGATTATGACCATATCGATAATAATTCATGTCAACACCGATGTGGTTGCTACTGGGCTGATAAACCCTCGAGGAGGAAACATCAACCAGCAGTTGCATCGACCCAGTTGTAGAGAATAAACTCATTATAGATATCATGATTGAGGTTTTGTACGTCATACTTGCTTTTTGTCTACAAAAGACTAATGCACCCATGTCGCTCGAATAAAAAAAGTCGAAAAGGCCAAATGCAGTACGAAGTTGAAGAGAATTGAGGACCCATAATTTCGAAATGGTTTTACAAATACAGCTAAGGTTATGTATTCCTGGGGTAGAAAATCCTTAGTATTCTAAAAATTCAAAGTGTTGTCAACAGTTATTTTATAATTATGACCATATCAATGATAATTCATGTAAACACAGAAGTGCTGGTGTTACCCTCAGGGAGGAAACCTCCACCATCAGTGGCATCGACTCAGTGGTTGAAAATAAAATAATCATAGATTCCAGGATTTAAATATTGTACGTCAGACGCGCGTTTCGTCTTATAAACAAACTCGTTATAGATACTTAGATTGATTTTTTTGTACGCCAGATGCGCATATTGTCTTCGCAAAAGAACATTTTTGTGTTTAAAATTTTACTTTTAGCTTCAAAATTTCTGTACATATGAGAATTGAAAACTGTGTTTTTTGACAAAAATGAAACGAAATGAAAGCATGTTACCATGTTATTTTTAAGAGGAAACGCCTACGTGCTTCATGCAAAATGTTAAGGTCTCTTGCTTTCTGGATTGAGTAATCGAAAATAAAATAACTGTTACATGATGTCTCTGAATTGTTAATTACGGATTATTGTATTATATCAAAAAATTGATAATGATATACGAACATTCCAATATCGAATTAAAGTATTTTTATTGTTAACGTTTCATTTTGAGAAGAATCAGAAAGTACAAAAAGAAGTATGTCAAATATGCACACGAATTCAGTAGATATGAAATGTGTACAAACCAGACACAATCGATTCCAAAAACATTGATGATGATTCTTTTCTATTTTCTGAAAAGTAGATAATAGTGTTATCCATCATTAGAAAGATCATCTAATACACATGTATGTATGTTCACATGTTAATTAATATTCAAACAACGGAGCGCATTAAAATGTTACAAAAATTAACAACCCGAAACCTTAAAATTGCATCTCGGAATTCAGAGCTGACAGATCTACAGTAAAATGATATCATAGTTACGTTCCCTCACGGGAAAGTCACAAAATCCGTGAGTTTTGTAGAATTAAGTCTTCCACATCGTGTGTAGTATATGACCACTATGTATTACAACAACCTTCCCTAATATTAGATATATTTTAACTTTAAACCTACTTTTTGCTACGGAAAATGCATATACCAAGCCAGGAATATGACTGTTATTATTCATTCATTCCAACGATTGATATGGCCGAGCGGTTGGTTTTGTCAGTTTATATATACTTCCTATGTTTAAAATTACCTTTGAGTTGGCTGAATACACCTTTGTTTACATATGTTTGACATTTTGTGATATTTGCAACAAGTAGTACATAATGCATGTGTATTACAGAGGTTTGCCTACATGGCTCGCATATGACATATATATTTGTACACAGCTATAAATCTTAGTTACAACTAAAAGAAATTGTTTAAAGAAAAACAGACAACGAAGCACTACAGTAATCATTATTTTTAATATTTATTTTGATTAACAAGACTTATCATTAAATAAGTGAAAATCTGCAACCAAACAATCATACCCCTCGGAGGTAAGTTAATTATCTAAAGTACTATAACTTCACGTGTAAAGAATAAAAACAATGTAAATATGATATAGTGAATACATCATTCTTCAACAGCCTATAATTATGGCAAATAAAAGCGAACACCGAAAAGAGATGGAAATAAATTAAAATAGACAAACTTCATCATGTGAAGTTGGCAATTTATTTTTATCAACAAGTTTCCTTGTATATGATTTCATAATAAGCAGACAAGATATAGACATATGATAGACGGCTGATCGGGAAAAAAAATAAAGAAACATATGAAATCGACAAGTCAATATTCAACACATCCGCTTATATAGAATCATAATTATCATCTTAATTTAAGACAGCATATAAGTTACCTTGGGGCAATACGATTTGGAACATAACATAGCATAAATTAAAAATGTGCTTTCCCTGGCAACTATAGTTAAGGTAAAAATACTTCAGTGGTAGCGCGTTTAAACGCAGTTAAATCACTAGCTCCTAACTAAATAGAAAAGATAAATTTGTAAGATATTGCAAAGGTTCAGTTCATTACCGGAATAGAATTTTAACATTAAAATATTCTTTTCATTTTCGTTAAAACCTAACTTGTTGCTACATTAGATAATTTGATTACGACACTTGTAGTTTGTACTGAAATAGACATATTTCGCTAAAATGCGATGGTCTACGCTATAGTGCGATTGTGTCAAACGATAAAGTGCAGATATTGTTTTTTTTAATTTTAAGTGCGATTACATGACACGCTAAAGTGCGATGGTATGACACGCTAAAGAACGATGATGTAACACGCTAAAGGGCGATGGTATAGCACACTTAATCCCGATGATGTCACGGGAATGGGGTTCCGGCAATGGCTTTTGTATTTTGCTTTGTTTCTATTAGTTTTTCGTTTATTGTCTTGTTATAATTCTTGCCGTTGTCTTTCTCCTTTGAATTGTTTTGCACTGGTCATTGCGTGGCCCTATATAGCTTGCTGTGCGGCGTGGGCAAAGGCTCGACATTGAAGGACGTACGATTACTTTTTGAATACATCAACGACATTTGATCTTGGTTGGATAGTTGTCTCATTGAAAATTATACCACATTTTTTTATTTTTATTTAAAGTGCGATATTTGTTTAAAAAAAGTTTAATGGGTACATTGAAGAAGCTAATATATACTTTATGAAACTGTTTCAAGCCAGGAACATGAAATTCAGTGGTAGTCGTTTGTTTTTGTTTTTGATATTTGTTTTCTTGTTTGCATTGTTTTACACTAGTCGATTATTGAATTGCACACAGCATTGCATTTCAGTGTACCAAACCATGGCAATTCCGCTTAGACCATTGTACTTTAGCGTGACCATCGCGTTTACGCGTCCCTATCGCACCTTAGAGCCTTATATATATGCAACTACATTGATGCGTGTAAGAAAACACAATTGCTACATACATAGAAATCAAAATGCTTGCCTGATATTTCCTCCTTAAGATTTGAAATAATCTCATCCTTCTGTCGACAGTTCTGACAATCAAAGCTTTTCTTGCAGAATATGCATATTGTTTTGTCTTTCTTATTCAATTCTATTTTCGATGATTGCTCTTCTGTCTCTATTTTGGAAAACATATTTTAGATATATATATATAGAAACATATGCACTTAGTTAATTGACCATTTCAATGAGACAAAATCACAAAAGGACGAACACATCAATAAGAAATAAAAGCACTTTCATTTAAAAACAAACACAATCATATTTGATGTTGCAATGTTACCCCATTATTCATGTTCAGTTGTAACAGTGAATAATGCAGTTGGTCCGCAAGCCTAATAACTTAGATATACATAAACAAAGGTTGGTATACAATTGGACTTTTCAGTGATCCTTATATGAGTATATACCAAGCCTGACTATTAAGGACATTTAAGAAAAATTACTCTGTAACATATGAACATATGGAGATATTTGTATGAACAAAAATATTGATGGAATAAACTTACAACCATACAAGGAATTCGGACACAAAATGCAGTTTTACTTTTTCATCTAGCAAGGTAATAAGTCATTCATGTCTCATTGATGTACAGCCAATATTTCTTTTATAATTATTTAATTATAATAGACCGATTGACGAATTGTTGTTTACATGCAATCAAACAAACTACTACATCAATATTAAGATACTTTTTAAAACTCAATCACCAAATCACTATATAAGCACAGGCATTTTCAGTATGACTTAAAAACGTCAATATTTTAAGAAAAAATACTTAGCACTCTATGACCAATGAAACACACACAATCAAAATACGCTTTTTCATATGTTATTTAATATCTCTATACAATATTGGGAACTTGTTTTGTATGCACTATTGTTCATTTGGATACATGATGCACCCATATGACAATAGAAAACTATAGGAAATCTATACTACCTTCTTAATCCAATTCATCAGGCTCTATAATCAAAGCTACTTTGATGACAGTATGTACATCTGAATTGATTCTACAAACTTCAACAATCTTTTTCAAAAATAAATGTACTGATGTTCGCATTTCATCTCGATTCTCTAAAACCTTTTTTTGCATTAATGTTTTTATAACCAAGGACCCAACATAAACGAATTCTATTTCAAACCATTGTCTTAACAGTGCAGAAAATTTCTCTAAAGTGTCTTTTATTTCTGTTAAATTCCATGTGCTTGGTGTTTCGAGTCTCCATGCGACACGACACTTCCTCACATCTGCAGAAGACGGTTTAAACATTAATAAGCTACACATATCACTGTATATAGTTCAGCTCCTATAGTTTTTGCAAATATCATATAAAAAAAATTCTAATATCCAATGTACAAGTTCCCACAAATGCATGAAGTATACTTTTAATTTCTGTAAAATGAATTATATTCGTCAGTATCACCCACTTAAAGTGAATCTTTATATTTTTCATCTAAACTATCCATGTAGGTTACAAAATAAAAGTTTGAGTGTTTAACATATTTAAATGTGTGCAATGTCTACATTGGAAGAACTAGATGAAACAGACCAAGCTCGATTTGGCTATGTGCCCATAATGGTTTGCGAATGATAAATTTCTGCAGAAGGGTTAAAAGAATAAGACTGAATTTTTACTAGGTTCTATAGGTCGATATCAACATTTGATTGACTGTGATGAACTTTTGTCAGGCTGCAGATTTGACTGGACAATATTGTTAAATTGGCTTGTATATTATTTTGACACGTATAACTTGAAGTGATTTTACAATTGTTTTACTGGTTAAACATGTGAACGAGAAGTAGCTTACTCTGTCAAAGAACCCGGTTTCTTCTTTTCACATGTTTGTCGGCTAGTTCAAATCCCATTTTACATTTCAATGTAAAACTAGCTATAAATTTCCCAATACAATATATTCAGAAACGAAATAAAAATGATCAGACACAGTTTACATCAAAATAATTTGAAAATAGTCACTAAAAGTGTGGGGTTCAGACATCATGGTAAATTGAAATCAAATGCATTTATCATAAAACCAGAGTTTGAGATTGGAAGTTAACAACACATAAAAATCATATACAAGATGTCAAATATCGTTAAATAAATGTCTTAATGACTGGAAAAGTGCAGGAAAACCCCCACTATAAATTTACATTTCTGAAATTTGATACTTGTTCGTTATTCAAATAACTGATCAAAGATACCTGGCTTATAAGTTTACACAAGACATGCGTTTCGTCTACAAAGGACACACTAGTGGTGCCCGAACTAAACAGTTAAAATGTTAAAACTATAAAGTTTATATTTAGCAAGTCGTACTTTCTAGAGTCAAGGTGATTAAAGCTTTACAAAGATAAAACCCGTGGGTTTTTCTCTTTTGCTGAAAACTGACGTTATTCCTTGCATATATTGAATTCACTTTCTAGTGATAGCATTCTCAAAATAATGTTAAAATATTACACAGTTAAAGGATAGGATTTTAGTTATTTTGTTCCAAATGAAGTGATTTTGAAATTATGTGAATTTGGTTGTGCACTTATTAAAGCATTTATTAATGCGATTCCAACGTTTGATCTCCTATCATATATTCAAGCAAGATGAAACCTGAAAATGTAAACATGATAATATAAGAATGTCCTCTTCCAACCTCCTATTTGAATTCTTATAACTTACTTTTATCCGTTTCCGTCACATATACTTTAGAACAGCTAACAGCAGCATTCATTTTGGTTACTGGAGAATATGATTATTGCAGTCAAATACTTGATAATTAGTTTATATTCTGAGTCACTAATGGCGAGAACCATGTTTCTAATTTGTTTGAACAATAATAAACTTGTAAATGTGATTTTGTTAATTACGCCCATTGTACATCTATCTGGTGAGTGAAAAATCGATCATTGACCCACCTGAGCAATCCAGGTAAATACGGCGAAACAAACCGGGAAGCACGAACTGCAGATTACTGAAAAATTTGTAAACTGGTTTTGATACATGTATCTAGAATATGCAATGGCCTTATTTTAATGAATTACAATGTAAGAGTTTTTCGAAATCGCAATGATGTGAATCCGGGATTAAATCGATATCAAGCCATTGGAATGTTTATGGCAGTCGCAATGCTGCGACTTTATGGTAGAAATCACAATCAAGCTTTCGAAATGTTTCCGATAGGAAACAAATAACGTGCTGTTGCAAGATTTTTTAATATTCTGTAAGCAGCAAATACACAATTAATCGTATGTTGCAAAGCTACGGATTAACCGAAACTGTAAAAGATCACCCTAGACCTACATATCCGTACCATTGACATTACACCAACCTACACCATTTACGGAATCAATTAACGACGGCGACGTCAACTGCACACCTAGTTATTGGAGCAATAAATGCTATATTTGAAACAGTTTCATACAATTGATCAAATTCGCAGTGTATTAGACTGTACACAGGACTGATTATGTTTGCCAGGGCTACGTGTGGTGTTATCGAATTTTAAAATCACCTTTGCAGTCAGTTTTGCGGACGGCAGAACGTTAATATACCAATGAATGCTCCGATTATATCTCTTTCCTTATCTAGGTTGATATGGTGGTTAGCATGTAATGGTTTAGGGCGCTCATCCCCCCCCCCCCCCCAAAAAAAAAAAAAAAAAAATTAAAATTATTCGTATGGCCTATGGATGTTTTGTGATAAATCATCTATCAAATAAATACATAGAGACATTTTTTTGGCATTGTGTTTCCACAGTCCTCAGTAATTGTATTACAGTAAATTGTGTGCATGGTTTCGTCTATTAACATCACTATAATATTGCTTTAAATAAGGAATATGATAATCATAATTTTATTTACATGCAGCATTGGTTTTTAGAAATTCGATTTGAAATAAGAATGCTGTTTATATCAAATAGGAAGACATTACAACAATTTTAACAGAAACATGTAGCTCTTTTTTTTTTCATTTAGGTTTATTTTGCAAGTGATATCAGGCTTGAGTCGCAGACGAAGTTGTTATATCGTGTTCCAGCAATCCTTTTTTTCAAATTCTTTCTTGATTAGTCAGCAAGTTCGATTTGAAGGTAACGATGTTATGACGATACTCGGAAAAGAGGATTTTGTATTGGGCTAAGCGCTAAATTATTTGAATTGTCTTGATAAATGCAACAAAATATGCGATATCAAATATCAATAAAAAATGCACAATGTACCTTCTGTGTCGAATGTCTCCTTTGTAGAACTAGAAGCTAAAGTATATTGCTTTACTTCAAATCTTAGATTCCTGATATCAACGTAGAGTTCATCTAATTTATAAGAAAATATGAAAAATGATGTAGAAATAAGCACAAATAGAATAAAGCTAAAATCTGCAAAAGAACTATTGCTCAGTAATTTCATAACTTAACATATTATTAATGGTTCCAAGTTAAATGCGCCTGATGCTCGGTTTTGACAATTAATTTATCTTTAGTGATGCTACAGACCAGCAGTTATGACAAGTTCAAAAACCTGATACAAACGTTGAAGATGTTATAAAACCGAAAAGGCCTTAAAAATTTAAAAAACATTTTTTTTTAAAAGCGGAAAAAGGATGGGAGCTTTGTATGCTTACAAAAAATTATTCAACTGAGATCAATCCCAGTTTTTGGTAGGGTTTGTGTTTTTAAGTTTTTGGTGTTCTATGCTGTGTGTTGTGTACTGTTGTTTGTCTGTCTGTCTTTTTATTGTTTAGGCATGACGTTGTCAGTTTCTTTTAGACTTTAGAGTTTGAATGTCCCATTGGTATCTTTAGGCTTTCTTGTATTCTTAAATTAATAATGTTTTCCAAAATATAATCATTTCGATGATAAAATTTCCGTAATTTTGTATGCTTATGCCGAGGTACTGGGTCTTGTGCTGAAGACATTTTGGGGACTAATAGTGCAATAAGTGGTAGTCACATAATTAACGGTACGAGTTAATGTATCTTTCTTGATGATCGATGCAAACATATATGAAAATGCAAAACCTTATATTACAAACGTTGAAAGTTTACTTTTGTTCTGGTCAATTTACATATAGTCTTCAAAGTTGTTAAATTTTAGGAAGATACAAAGCAGCTATAGAAAATAAACACAATGTGACAAAAGATAAAGCAACAGTGCAAATTACACAAACTAGAAATCGAAAGAACCAAACATTTTTACAGAAAAAATAAACAGGAGAGAGGACAACAATATAGATTTGTATCGACTTTATTTGATTCGTTTTTACCTGAGCATAACAATTGGATAATAAAGATTAGCATTAAACACCTGGTGGAAAACATGTGGTATGATTAATATTTAAAAACAAATGTTAAGGTAGCTGGGGTGTTTTCCTCCAACTTAGATTTTGAAATAGCAGATAACAATCGATCTAGATCTTTTATGAAATGTGCAAATTTAGAAAGTAGTATGTAACTTTTGTGTAAGACTGTTTATGTTAATATAGAAAATTGTGTGAAAGCATCTTATATGTCAAACAAATCTTGATGTCGGCATACAAATATATATATAGATTTTACCACTGTATCGAGTGTGATACGATATTTATCCACTCGAGACAGTTACATTTTCAAATTTAAAACGCGAGGATCGCCGAGTGTTTTAGATATTTAAAATTTAACTGTCGAGAGTGGATAAATATCGTATTGCACAAGATTTGGTGGTTGAATCTGTTTCTTTTATGATTTTTAAACGATATGCAAACAAATTTAATAAGTCAATCCTTCCTTTCGAATGATCTGCAAACAGATGTATTCTTTCTATGTGACGTCATCAGGCATGGTCGCCTTTTTTCATGACGTCACAATAGGAAATTCAGAGGAAAGCAAAAAATTTGACGTCATAATCGAATTTTGACCAATGAAGAACTGAGATCAAACGAACCACACGTTGATTAAATACAAATAATCAACAGGTCATGAAAAGGATAACCCGTGTTAGAATTAGAGAAATTGTTTCAATATCTACATGAAAGTGTTAGCCCCTGACCAGTTTTGTTTTGATATGTTTTAATAAACAGTACAAATAACTGTTAGACAACGTCAATTCACCTAAGATCATTATACACACAGTAGAAACAGCCTGAATTACAATATTTATAATGTTTATCTTTAACGTTAAATTACCTTTATATTTTGTGAGGTGTGCAATGATCTCATCCTTTACTAGCAATGTGCTTTTCCTCTGGTCTTCAATAAGGGCGTGAAGATTCTAAAATTATCAAATAATTGGGATTAAGTACTTAGAGAGACTTTTTCAGAGTGTGACAAACGCATATTCGCAATTTAATCTTTTAAATTTAAGCGGGCATGCCGAATGGGTTTTTATTTGGATATTTACTTGTTATTTGCCTTTGTTTCTTAAATTATCATAGTCGATTACATTTTAATGTTTCACTTTGACATGTTTGATGTCATTTTATTTGCCTTAATGGCCTATTGCGTCGTTTTATTTCAAATTCTAATTTTATTAGATTATATATGATACGTTGTGATACCAAACTATATAAAAATATCAAAATAATTCTAGGAACAACATTTCTTTGTAGATCATGTATTCTAATTGAACGATTTGTCTAACGTAAGGCAATTGTGTATGTATGAATAAGAACATATCCTACCTTTTTAACTTCATCAACATTGTTCTCGATGATTCCTTTGATTGTATCAATTGATAATTCACTATTTTTGAATTCATCGACTTTCCTTTTGTTCACTTTTGCAAAATAATTTCCCAATGAACTATCTATTTCTAAAATAGCTTGCTCATTCTCAGACCACTTGCTGTCAAACTCAGATTTAGAAATACGTGCATTAGGTACATGTGCCAAAAAGTTTCTCGTTTCTTTGATAACTTCAATACATCTTGGGTTTCCGTGTATGACTGTACTATTTTTGAAACAGCATGATTGCAAAATCGCGTATATAAGAGTTATATCCATACAGTCGTTTTGCGATGATTCTACACAAACACTCTTTGGTAATCTCATTATGTCTTCCTGTTTGATAATGGTCCATTTCAATTAGAGGGTCAATATCAAACAATGACATAAACTGTTTTTTATTTAAACATCCTTTTCGAGAAGGCGGAACAAGACAATGTTGAGAACACTTACAGCACTGTACTCTAGGATAGCATTCATGAAACAAAAAAGGTTTATTGTCATCTAAGAACATATAAAATGCCAAATGTTCTTTTGCATTCAAAATATTCCGCTCAAAATAAGTATGTAGAACCTCCATTCCAATTCCAAGGATGAAAGTGACAAGTTTCATATAATACCAACACTCCTTGTCAGATGGTACTGCCTCCATTGTCAGTTGAATATTAGCTAAATTGTGAGAACGTTTGTTGAGAAAAACTAATTTTTTTGTATATCAACATTGTTTACACTGCTTAATCTTTTCTCTAAACATTTAATCTGCCACCCTTGCATTATAAATTCACTGTGGTTCAAACAAAAAAAGAATAAAAAAAAAGAATAAAAAAAAAGAATAAAAAAAGAGAAAAACAACCACGTGCAGATGGGTGCAGTCCTAACCTGTACAGCTAGTTAACTTGATGACCAGACTTTACGGCAGTTGAAAGTAAATTTGAGACAGGCTTAATGACTGCCCTGACCACTCCTAGGACAGTAGATATGATAACTTGGTCTTAGGACTGTTTTTATGAATGCCCGAAAGTTAACTTTATGAGAGGTCCAATATTGAAGTTAACTCTGAGCGAAGTTAACCCTGCCACAACCAGTTCTACACAACAAGTTCACTTTTGACCAGCTGTGCTTTTAAAAGCAGTCATTGATCTTGACCTGCTATGTCCGAACCAGATCTATTCTTTGCAAATTAATTTTAGTCTGGTCTGTTCCAAGATAAATTTAAAATGATCGAAAGTTAACTAGTAAACAGGACCGCTTTGATTCATGTATATCATTTGCGTATCAACACATGCATGTATTAACAAATTTGTTAAAAAAATTATATATCCATCAGACTTATGAAAAAGCAGACCTGTCCCCATGACTGACATGACTTGTCTGTCCAAAAGCAGACTTGTCAACAGGACAGTTAACAGCATACATTTTCACAGGTCTGGCCTGGTCAAGCTGTTCTGTCCACAGGTCTCGACAATCTGACTTGTTCACAGGTCTGGTCAATCTGACTTCTTCACAGGTCTGGTCTGATCAAGATGACCTGTTATGAGGACAGGTCTGCTTCTTTAGACTTGTCCTCAGGTCTGGTCTGGTCAAGCTGACCTGTCCTGAGGACAGATCTGCTGCATTAGACCTGTCTTCATGTCAGGTCTGCAGCAGTCCTACAAAAGCAGATCCGCTCTAATTAGAATAAACTTAACTTGCAGGTCTGCTACAATTTTAAAAAGTTAACATCATGATTACTGTTTTAGGCTTACTTTTGTACATGTTAATACGGCACCCAACTGCATGTTAAGTAAAATCCTTCTTATAAGTAGATGCGTTTAAATCAAACAAAATCTTAATTTTGTATTTTGTATCTTGTTAACGGATTTTTACAGGTAAACAGAAAAAAACGAAGGACTGCAAAACGAAATAACTGTCATAATAAAACCATGTGTTTTTTTTTCTTAATTGATCTACAAGATTCCAACTCTAAAAGAAATTGTTATACTTTTTACTTTAATATCGAAGTTTCTTGCGGTAGTTTACAAACCAAATTAATATCAACCATGTCAAGATTTTTAATGTTACTTAGCTGATATGTTGTATTTTGTTTGCCCGTTTCAAAGAAATGTGCATTTTTCATTTATGCAATATGTGTTTGTCTGCATGACGTATAAGCTTCATATATTAAGTACACATGTATACTAAACAAAACACTGTAGCTTTCGAAGTGTGTGTATTTAAATTAAATCTCTTTTTCTTTGGTGAATTGTTATGTCCTTTTTTTTAAAAACAATACCATACTTTATCCGTGCCCTGCATTTGATTTTCCCTATCAAATATCTGCAATCCTTATTTCTAAAGATCATAAAGGATGCAAAAGAGAGGCAAAATACATATACAAAAGGAACAATCAACCTCCTAATTTGAAAACGAACATACAATGATATGGAGAATAAGAAACCGACAAAACGAAAAATAACAGTATACAAAAAATTACATAGATCAACAAAAACAAAGAGCCTCACCAAAATAAACCAAAATACCAAGTTTTGGAAACGTTTGTATTTGAAGTTCATGCTGTAGAATCGTGATGAAAAATTGTGTTGTTGCATTATAAAATCCTTTTTATATAAACTATGCCGTCAAAATATTATGTACAACAATATTAGTTGTCTAATTTTAGAATATACACAAATCACCATGGTAAAAATACAATGCGAAAATTTTGTCAGTTTATGAAATTTGCGATATAGGCAAATATTTCTGAGTGGAGAAGTGTAATAATTAAAACAGGGTTGAAAATGTCTGAGTTCTTTTTTTTTTATTGTTAAAAATCATTTAAACGCATGATTCTCATGGCTACTAATTAAAAGAGCCTTGACATTGGATGAGTATTAGAAATATTGCTTTGCGATCAAATCAACATGATTTACTTCCTTACTTTCTTAACCTAAGAATAGTAAGAAGTTGTTTTGTTTATCTGGTGATAGTCATAATTTGGATGAATATTAGAACTATGCTATTAAATTAACATGATTATCGTCCTTGTAAAAATATAAACAAGTGATTATTTCCCTAAGGTTGGTACGAATCTGTTCTTGTTTGTGTTTGTGTCGTCATATCGATATTTAGATAACCAACACATAGATTATATCATACATTGGTTAAAAATACTAATCCGTTTAAGGAAGGTTGTTATCAGTATCAATGAAAAATTGTTTAAATATGTTTACAACGTCTTACCTTATTAGATGATTACTGAAATAAGATTATATCAAACAGAAATGCTTTCAAATTTGGTTCTGCTCTAATAAAACATATAATATATCAGTGATCGAATTTGTTGAAATAAAAGTTAATAAGGTTTGTAACTTAAAATTGTATTTAAAGCGGACATGGCCTTGACCATGTTATCACATTGATCTTAAAAGTTTCGGTTTATACATTTTATAGATTTATGAAAAAAACGTGACTACACATAGATTATATCATACATTGGTTAAATGTTCTAATTCGTTTAAGGAAGGTTGTTATCAGTAACAATGAAAAATTGTTTAAATATGTTTACAACGTCTTACCTTATTAGTTGATTACTGAAATTAGATTATATCAAACAGAAATGCTTTCAAATTTGGTTCCGCTCTAATAAAACATATAATATATCAGTGATCGAATTTGTTAAAATAAAAGTTAATAAGGTTTGTAACTTAAAATTGTATTTAAAGCGGACATGGCCTTGACCATGTTATCACATTGATCTTAAAAGTTTTGGTTTATACATTTTATAGATTTATGAAAAAACGTGACTACACACTGTGGAATAAGGTATGTGTAACACTAAACATTTGAGGTAAACAAATAGAAATTGTACTAGAGTTTGACTGAAAAAAAACTAGTGTTGATAAAACTTTAAACAATATTTGAAATACATTTCAATTTTACAACGGCATCAACACACTGTAAATAATCTAATTGAAAAATACAGATCAAGAATTATGAAATAAAAAAATTATACCGTACTAAGTGGTTGATTTAAATCAAAAGATGACATACTTTTTCAATCATTCATTGTTGAGAAATTTATGGTGAAAGAAGGCTGTTAATGTCCGAGTGATTGCAAATACACGTTGCAGACGGGTAAAAAACATAAACACGCTATGCCTCTACAATCAGTGGTATGGAGATTTTGATTTTTTTCGATTGTTTTATCCACAAGGATTTGAAATGTTCGTTCACAATATTGCGAAATTTTTCTGCCATATTTCTGACATTTATAATGTGTAGTCGATTCAGTACAATTCTGACCATTTTCAGAGGGTTTTTGTTTTTGTTTAACTGAGTATGCAAATAAATCAATTACCATAAAGGAATACGAACAATAGTTTAATAATAATACAGTGGTGTCTAACGACCTCCACTAGCTATGAAGCCCTGGATTGGTCGGCAAAAGTAAAAAGTATTGACTGATAAAATCAAGGTAGGAATATTTTCTTAAAAAAATAACAAACACTTTTATAGGACTTTACTTTTGTATGTTCCGATATTGTAGTTGATGCTGCTGTTAAATAACCGTGTTTGTTTGAAAGTCTTAAAATATCCAAAATCCTATGCAAATTCATTGTTTAAAAGGTTTTCAAACTTTTTTCTATTCTCAATATACAATACGATTTGGTATTTTTGCCAATGCGACAATTTTTGCACCAGAAACCAGAGGACGTAGAAGTTATAGATCACCCTGCAGTCTTCAAACATGAGCAAAACCTATCCCGTAAATCGTGATACGTCTACAAATAACACGAAGAAAGAATATCCATAGGTTAATGTATGATTTCCAATACAGTGTGATTCAATAAGATTTTCAAAATCCTACACTCAAATGTGGTAAATCTGGCTTGTTTCTACTTCTACTTCTACCATTAAGTAACCACCGTCGTCAGGTTGAATATCCTGTCACTGTTTGGTGTGCACTTGCATATTTAACAAGTCCAAAATTAATTTTAACAGAAATGATAAATTTGTGCTTGTACTGTAACATAACATTTATACATGGTGCAAATAAAACATGAGACTTAAAAAATTTAATCTGCATATAGTAGTCTCTTGAACGAGTCAATACTATTTGCAGCGGTCACCGAGGTGTTCCAATCTCTTATCGTACTTGGACAGAAGGACTTTTTCCTAATGCTGGTTTATATAATAGGGTAAGTCTAGCATACTTTCTCCTCTCCTCTAGTGTTGGCCATTTTTGTTTTTGTAGCATAGATTTAACTAATGATGTGTTGTGGTACCTGCTTCTGAAAATACCTTGCTGCTCTTCTTTGTATCATTTCTAGTTTATACTTGTCTTTTTGAGGTGAGGATCCCAAAATGAACTTACATATACAACTGTCGGTCTTACTAAAGCTGTACATGCCTTTTCCTTAATCTCACTATTTGCAATATTCAAGTTTCTTATAAGGAATCCTATTGTCCTGTTAGCTTTCTGATAGATGTTGTTTATATGAGCACCCCTATTTAGATCAGATGTTATGGTGACTCCCATGTATTTGGCTGATGCTACATGTTCTAAGTTGTGGCCTTGGATGATGTGACTATTGTGTATTGGTTCCTCCTTTTAGGTGATTGGCAGAACTACACATTTATTGGAGTGGAACTGCATCATTCATATTTTTCCCACGTGGCTAGATTGTTAAGGTCTTCTTATAGAATGTTGCTTTCTGATGATACAGTGAGGTATGCAATTGTGTCATCTGCAAATAGCCTCACTGTTGAAATGTTGTCCGGTATGTCATTGATGTAAGAGGAAGAGGCTGGGTCCCAGTACTGATCCCTGCGGAACTCCGGATTCTTCATTAATTTATTATGTCAGATATCTGCCCTTCTATGACAACTCACTGTGTTCTATCAGAAAGAAAGCCTTTTACCCAAGCTTTTGTTTTTACTTTGATTCCATAATGATCAAGTTTATGGATTAAGAGACTGTGACTTACTTTGTCGAATGCCTTTGAGAAATCCATGATGAGGCAGTCTGTTTGTTGTCCATTATCAAGGTTCCTTGTGATGTCGTCAATGAACTCCACTAGTTTTGTCTTGCATGACAATTGTTTTGTGAACCCATGCTGCATTTTGTAGAGGATGTTATTTTTATTTGCATGATTCATTATGTGGCTGGTGACTGTATGCTCCATGATTTTGCAGGCAAGAGATACATGCCTATAATTGATAGCTTCAAATCATTTGCCTTTCTTAAAAACTGGATATACATTTGCTGTTTTCCATATCGTTGGTGCTATTCCAGTTTCATATAATCTTCGATATATTTTTGTTAAGATTGTTGTTTCTTGTTTTAAAAGTGTTATTAAGAGTTTTGCATTATCAAATTTATCTCGAATATTGTCCTTTTATTGTAGCGATAAATTAACAAAATTTCACATTAATTGTTTCGAAAGTTAAAATGTGCGTTCTCGACAGTTTTTTGTAATTCAGTCTAAAGAACGGAGGACAGGATTGTTAATGTCTTAATCCACAGCACACGATAACTATCAAACGAATGTTTATGTAAATAAAAGTTTGCATTTTAACCAAGTAAATATTTACCTTAGATATGTCATTTCTTTATGCCTTGAGGCAAACTTCATAGAAATGTGGTATCGTCCGGTTTGATTCTTCAAAAGAAAGACCTGTCGTTCTGAACGAATATAACTCCACATAGGTATATAAGTTAAGTGATGCTTTTCGGAGTAAATCGACTATTAGATTAATAATTTGAAGATGAGCCCTTATTTAAATGTGTCGGTTTTCGACTCTCGACTCTTAAGTGTCAATTGTTTATATTTATCTTAACAGATCTATACACCGGAAAGCATATGTTAAGAAACGGAAGATACCAACAGCACATTTAAACCTCATGAGCCTTAACAGTATCATATTATGTATTTTGTCTTATATGGAGGTAAATCTACTTTTCAGCTACTAAAACTCAGAAACATCAATCTTAAAGAAAAAGCCAATAATTTAAAGGCATTACTCTGTTATATAGCAGTATGTTGTAAATTTATTGCCCACGTTCCTCTCAACAACAAAGAATAACGCCAATGAGCACTCTTTAAATTGTTATTAAAAACCCCTTTGTTCAATATCTTCCATACATGCAAAAATCCTGTAAGTAGGAAATCATGACCGAAAACGCAAGTTTGTCATGTCATTTCAGCTTGATAATAAGTACTCCATATGCAGGAACTGTTGTAATCGTACTACATATACAATTGGCTCCTTAGTTCTATATTTTAGCTCTTTGATACGACTCTCATTGTCTACTTTTAGATTTTAGAAATGCATGCGGCAGTATATATAATGAAAGTTTATATTTCAATTGTCATACAATGATTCCATTGCATTAACACCCGATTCTCCCTTAACCAGTTTGTGTTTAGATTTTTGGTTTGCTTAATCTGTGTTATTATTATTGTTTTGATTGTTCGTCTGAGTGTTCATCTTAAATTCTTTCTACTATTGTCAATATTCGATTCAATATGACTTTTGATTGCACGCTTATTAGTGTCACTTTGTCGAAACAGTACTTCAGTAATGACATGAAAATACGGAAACTTAATGTTTTACAACAGAATGTGTTTCATTTTGATTTTCTGTTTTCGATTTATTAAAAACTTGTAAAAGTACTTAGAGAGTCATACATCATCCTTTGCATACCTATGACTTCTTATCCGGTTTGTGCTTAACTTTTTAAGTCTTTTTAGTTTCATTTTTTTGGCTTTTAAAAAATCGTATAAGGTTTTTCAATTTTCAAGTATTCCAGCCTCAAACATTTTTTGAAGTGGTATTATAAATATGACCCCTTTACCTCACTTTTCATTTGATTGATAATTGCCTCTCACTAAATAATTTAAACTTTAGAACCCTGTTCCACCCATCTATCAATCGACTTTGAAATGATGGGTACACCAGATACATTTAAGTCTGCCTCGTATGTTGGCTCACATGTAGATATTGACAACGAGGGTAGGTTGAGAACAAAAATATAAGACGAAAGAGATGAATTTAGCTCCGCAATTGTGAACGTTCCAGCAGTGCCTAAATATATAATATATATCTCCCAGTTAAAAGTAGGTTGTTGCTTACAAGGAAGCTATTAAACCGATGATTCCAAGTGGTGAATCTAAAGTCATCCCTTCATAAATTTTACGGATGACATCACCAGTTGCTTGAACATTACAGAATATCTGCTCCACAGATCACACAGATGACGACATAAACATTTTAATCGTCGTAACTGCAACGCCGCCATTTTTCGTAATATGACAGCACCGAATTAGATTTATCCAGAAATGTGCACCTTCATGTGCAACACGACAAGCGCCTCATGTGGATCTGCGTATCCTTCCAGAGCACCCGAATCCCCTGGTTTTTGCTGGAATTTGTGTTGGTCAGTTTTCAATTGTGTGATCAGAGACGACTGTTGTTTTCCTTTATTATTGTTTGTTTGTCATACATTGTACCTGCGACTAAAGACATACATGTACGTGTATGAGATCCTTGCAAGGTTAACATGTCGGTCAACAGGTTTCACCTAACTGCGACCTCCTTTCATGGATCAGTGGTGAAAGTTGTGTTTTCGTGATCAAGTCCGTATCTCATAAAATATGAACATTAAGTCAACTATATTTGGTGTATGGAATGATTGTAAGGTGTAAAGATTCGACTGGCAGGTTTTATTTGACCCTGACAACATGTTCATGGTTTATTGTTAAATATTACAGCTTCAAAGAACTGTTGTAATAGACCTTTCTGCGAAAATACTAACGTGAAATTTACCCTTCCTACTAGTATTCGTTGGCAACCGAAACAATAGCTTTTATTTGTTGCCTTTATTTCGGACGTGTCTCGGATGTTTTACAGACGTGTAGTACCACGTCCTTTAAAAAGATCGTCCGTATTGCACATATTTCTTAAACATCCGTTTTACGTTTCTCAAAATTCCTTATAACGGCTGTATAATCACGTTTTAATTTCTTTTTAAAAAAAATATGGCATACTACTGTTTTTATATGTTTCATTTATTGTGAAGTTACACATGTAACAGATTGATACGTTAACGTTTCAAAAAAGTTTGAAAGAAAATAGATTATTAGCTTTGTTATATAATGAAGATAAAGTTTTAGACATCCCGTCATGCATTATGGGCTATACTGCCATACAAATATAGCATGTATTTATTTGTCTTTTGTGCTTTTGGGTTACGTGGTTGTTGTTGCATAGTAAAGATGTCATGCATGATATATCTTTGAAGGTTTATACAGGTAAATGTCATATGTATTATTTATGAGCAAATAGAGCGATATGCATGAATAACATGATCTTTGCATAGGCTTTTCAGAGTATTTTGATGTATGTGTATCACACATTGTAAATCTTGTACACTAAACCAAAAACGGGTTAAGTGTGCTTTAATCGTGATATACATCAACTCAAAGATTTTTTTTTCATACATATGACAATTTATATGGTATATATCTGCTTCACGAATAAAAGGAGAAATGTCATTTACGTCAATGAGACAACATCCCAAAAACAAAAAAACCCTAAACAAACAATTCAACATCTTCAGAAACACAATTTAACAATTTATATTAAATGTGTGTAACGGTTGAATAGGGACCTTTTAAGTTAATTTTTTTGTCAGGGGCGTGGAGTTAATGTTCACTAATCATTCCAATTGTGTTGTGGTGTAGTTTCTTTTAATTTTTTTTTTTTCAATTTTCATACTCTATTGGATTAACAGGTTATCTATCGATCTAGATTCTATATGGGTTGAATGAACTGTTTACCAAGTAACCGAACAAACGAAAGCTTTACACGATTGAAACTTGGTTATGTTGATCTTTCAACAGATCACAAAAATCATTATGATACAATGAAATATGCTTGTAAATACAACTGTTTTATATTGTACATGTAACGAAAGACTGTCGCGTGTTTCTTAAAACAAATGAACTTCAATGTTTGACGTTTCCACATCAACGAACGTTAATTATTTACTGACGTTACATTTTAAAGGAGTTTAGAGATTTAAAGGAATATATAAGTTAATCGTGAGGAGAACATGAATTGTTAGAAGAAAGAAGAAGAAGAAGAAGAAGAAGAAGAAGAAGAAGAAGAAGAAGAGAGTACACGGAGCAGAAATTGTATTCGCGTGTTGAGGACACACATTAAGCTCTGGTAACGTTTATATAAGCCTATTTTAAAAAAAATCATTTAAAAAAAATGGTCATTGACTTAATGATATTAATCAAATATTTATTATATCTACCTATTTATATGTTTGGTCTATATGCCAAGATTCTTGGTGTTATCAGATTGTGATTATTATGATTATTTATCTTGGCTTACTAGGCTGATGATACCATCGAGGACGAAACGTCCACCAGAAGTGGCAAGTTATTATTAGACAAATGCATATAATGGACGTTCTTAATTTACGTAATTCCGAAGAAGAGCTTTTAAAAAAATGTTCATGTATAATAAGATAATTCTTGACTTTTCTAGATCTACCTTTTCCATATCCACGTAAACCGATGACAATCATAATATCAAGTAGGACACTATTCTAGAAAAACTTCAAAGCAGGATTCCTACAATGTGAAAAGTATTTATTCAAAGTGAAGCTTACAGTGACCGTTCCTATTGAGGTAAATCTAGAAAAGCGCTCCGAACACACCAGATTATGTTTTGTCTTGCAAATGGCGTTGTATGTTTAAAAATTTCAGAAGTAATTTATTATAAATATAAGTTTCCATGAATAAACCAAAGCGCTCAAGAGATCCAAGTTGAATTCATGAGACAATAGAAAGAATTTCTGTATCGCTTTTGAATTATAATTATGATTTATATAATTCGATGTCTTCATCAGACATCTCATCGATTGTAAACGGTAAGTCATTCCATCTCCGACAATCTGTGAATTTATTATTTTCAATGTCAAATACTTTAGTGCCTTCTTGTGACAAAACAAGTAATTCACACTCTTGGTAAATAAAAATTGAGCCCCAGTCATGCCCGCACTCAAGACCAAATGCCTTAAAACGCTTCTGACAACCGTCGATTATTCTCATTTTCTTCTTTGGCAATTCTCTCTGCTCAACTCGTCGAAGTATTCCTTTATCACAAACGACAAAGAATTTCTCATTAATGTGTCGCATAAAAGTTCCATGCGTCATAAAAACTCCGCAATATTTACAATGGACTCGAAATAAAGCTTGCCGCCGTTGTTTTTTCTTCAAAATTTTAGAGTTTCTATCCATCTCTTCCATTTGATAAATATCTTTTTCTGCATTGGATATATCAATATCAAGTTCACAGACTTCTTTAATGGCTTTCGTCATTAAGTACTGTCTCCTGATGTTTTTCTCTTCCGTTTCAAATTCTCCTAACGTGCCAACATGGATTTCCTTTCCTTGTTTACTTCGACGAACTCTCCCTACAACATTAAAAAATGATTATTTTATTATGTTCATTTGTTCAAATAGCTAAACGATAATGAATATGTAAATTTAAGGTAGCTGGGGTGTCCTATCAAAATCAGTATAATTATCTGACCTCGATTTTAAAAGGTTTTTTTCGGAAAATTTTGAATACACTTAAGGACATTTATTTTTTTATGATAGTTTAATGTTTTAATTTCAAGTTTATATACTTTTGTTGTATCATGAATGATACTGGTTAAATATTTTAAAAAAAAAAAGTTTTTTTGCAACATGCCGAGAAGGAATGCCCAGAAAACGACATCCAATCTACCGTAAAAAGTAATAGATACACAATTAAATGAAATAAGTCTTTACAAAATGATATAATGCTCCTACATTAACACATCTGAAAGATAAGGATTTTGCGTATTAATAAGACTAAGTATGATTGAATAATAAGTAACACAAATTTCATTCGCCGATTATTTGCTTTTGTCAATAGTTTACATTAAAAAACATTAATTGGAGTTATGCCAATGTTCTATTTTGAATACATTTATTCTTTTGAAATACAAAATATATTTAAGAAAACCTTATACACTATTCTGCTTTATTGAATAGCTTACGATGCAAAACAAGGTTGATTTGAAATCATACCTCAAGTCCTTATTTCATATCGTATCATTGCTGAAAATCACATTCAGTGTTGGTTTTTCCCCCTTAGTATGGTATAGTTTTTTTTTTATTTTGTTTCCGCCCTTCATTCATGCCTGGACATTTCTGTTTTTGTTTTGTCATCCAACATAGTTGCACCGGATTTTTTTCCCCTCGTATTAGCTACAGTATTAATATTCACCTCGCATTTGCAAGCTACTTATTTCATTTGCTCTAAACCTGTAACGTATCATCAAGTTACACAATGGAATATCCAATCCCTCAGAAGCAACAGATGTTGCAACAACGCATAAGTGGTCACCATTTCTGAAATTTTCCAGCACAGCAATCTGCTCATTTGGAGGAAGGCCTAAAACAAAGAGAGAATACTTTTATTTTATAGTTGTCATAACTAATTGATTACATATACCTATTTAGTAAGTAATAATAATAGATTTGTAAAAAGCGAAAATATGATTTGGAATAATATAAAGCTTAAAACAAAAGGTATGGACAAAACTAAATAAAACCAAATAAAAGGTATCGGGCTAATAACTGAATACACCTATATAGGAAAAGCAGAATGAATAGTACAAGTACTTTTTAACTATGTTATAACATGTTGATTTTTTAAGGGGTACACATTTTAAACTTAATATATACCACACAAGAACAGCGACCCAATGACCCAGCGGACGCTCATATCTTATCTGTCCAAAGGAAACAAGTTAAAAAATGTGTTTGGTACTTTAACTGTTTTCTAAAATATCCTGCAAGAATTGTTGCCATAAAATCGTTAACAATGTTATTTTACATATGATTTACAACTCTCATAAAAATAATTGATCAGCGCTTATTATTGTACTATTCTAAGACCTTGCTGATATAAAGCCTTCATGTAAATTTCATAAAATTCCAGCAATCGATAGGTGTGAGACTGCCTACAATGCAATGTTCAAATAAATTACATTACAGAAGGACATAATTCCTGCAAACAATAACTAATCGGCACTGATGTTCGTTCTCTTTTATGAACGTTCCAGCAGTAAAACAATTGCTTAAGTAGGTGGCCGTTTGACTATGCGCGGGGTATACATTCACATATGCAATTTTTCGAAATGCCACTGGATGGGAAATTACCACATTCTCTGTACATTTAAAAACACATGCATCAACCCTCTGTAGGCTCTGTAGGTTGACTTTTGAAACGCATATTTCTTTCAATATCATGTCCATTTGAAATCCAAAATTCCGCACTTCATCCCAATCGGTATACTGAGCAGATCCTACATGTATCTATTGTATTAAATGTTATTTTTATTCATCATATGGATAACATATTTGCCCCTTGATATTAAACAAGCAACAGTCGACAAATCAATCTTCTCATTCCAAATCGAGAATAAAACAGTGCTAGATAAGACAAACTGTGTATTTGCCTTAACAAAGTAGCTTTGACATCGAAAGAACATACTCAAAATGATAATATCAGAACAGTAAATCATTTAGCTAAATGCGAAATTTTTAATTCACAATGCATGTTTATATATGGAAATGGATGATCTGTGCTGACATATTGAACCCTTTTGATTTTTTTGGGGCACTTGCATTGATTCATATCACTTCGCTGTTGTAACAGTTAAAAAAAAGTATGAAGACGTTATTATTTTTTAAATTCATTCACGTCTCTCGAATAATTACATTGCCACTAACAACAATTCACGAAAAGATAGAATAATACATGTAATGTGAAATAATAAAATAGACGCGGTAATATAGATCTACAAAAGTAATGAGGGGATGAGGACCAGTTCATAAAAATTCATTTAACCACACTTTATGTCAATTCGCTTGGCCACTGTAACTGTCGTTTGTGATCACCGAAATACATGCTATAGTTGTTAATTTCTGTTTCATTTGGTCTCTTGTGGAGAGTTGTCTCGTTGGCAATTATACCACATCTTTTTATTTTTATATTATATTTGCCGCTTAACGTTACTATACTACATTTATACTAATAATGTTTTAAGACCTCAATTGAGTCTCAGGCGTTCCTGATTGAGTTCAGATATATATATATATATACTTTGCAGAACATAACGCATGATAGTTGTTTTCAAATATTATTTTGTGTACTTCAAATCGATATTTGACAGCAATGCTTAAGTTTATAATTATAAAATTTAACAACTTTTCTTACAGCACACTGAACAGAGATTGAAAAACAGACAGATACGAAAAATTGGGCCAATGTAAGTATATATTGTAACTAACATATGCAGGTACAACTGTTACAGTTCTGCATCTCCTTGGCATGGATCGAATAAAATTTTGTATTTTTGGACCTGTGGTTTCCTTTCCTATATTCGCTTGACTGAGTTGGTCGAATGACGTAGATGGGAGTTGAAGTTGGTGGACGTGTCTATCTATATCGTCCCAACGATGTTGTATGGAGTTTAAATCCGTCGAATTCGTAGGCCATGGCAATACATACATTTTGTTAGGAAATACACGAAATCCCTTGCTTTGTTGGACCGGGAATTGTCCTGCTGAAACATCTTCGTTCAATAATATTGAGCATATGTGACTGCAAAGTATGGTATCTGTAACGTTCAGTCGTTGAATTGTGTTCGAGACTCACAAGCTTGTTTGTTTTGGAGTTGTAGGATATTGCTTCAGACATTATGACACTCCCATCGCAAAATTACCGGTCGAACGTTCATTTCGAAGCCGGTTTACGAGAGTTTGTCTCTCACATCTTTGGTATGAAAACATGATTCATTGTTGAACCAAATTCGTCTTCCATTCTTCAAGGGTCAAGACCTTTAATGTATGACACCAACGAACATGTGCAAGTTTATATGTACCTACTGTGGATACTTCATTATTCGTGGAATACCAATTTTCGTGGATTACAATTTTTTGGGGGATTTGGATGAAACAGATGAAGCACGTATTTAAAAGTTCAGCGAATTACGATTTATCTATAGGCTTATATTCAGACTTTTACAAAACCATGTCATCAAATATCCACACAAATGTTAGTTTCCCTCGATCCACGAAAATTGGTGCTCACAAAAACATGGAATATAAATGAAATCACAGTATGTCTAAACCGGTCATTGGCAAAATTGGCGTTGGGGAAACCAATTACATACTGCCTGTGCGGAAGTCTACCGCTAATATAGATTACAAGCAGCAGTCGGTTTAATAGTGACAGTTTGATTTTGTAGATGATGAATCACCCGGATGAACCGTTTTTGGCTGGAAATTTGATGCGTTGCCTATAAATCTTACGGCGATCTTGTACTGCGACGCTTTGATATAATATCTGCCAAAATCGTGAATGTGTACACTGGTAAACGCATTTTGTGGGATAATTCATTTTAAAATTGTCTACCCTGAAGACGACTGATACCGTTGTTAAGTATCTTGCATTTTACAGTAGCGTGTATGTCAATAGCCTGTCTTTAACATGGAAGTTATATACACTATAGTATCACGAGTCATTTACCCAATATGTTCCCTATAA